CATTAGCACTTTCTAAATAAATTGGTCTTGCTTACATATTGTTTGTACATCAAGACCACTATTAGATTAAATTTCGAACAATTATATTTTCATAACCACTTTGCGTCTTACTTGATTTCAATTGAACTATCGTCCATTTGCCACATTCCTTTTGTCATTCCATAGGTGCTCAAAATATCTACAATCACGAAAAAATAACTAAATCCATGAAATTGACTTTAATTTGGAACTAATTTTAGTAGCTAAAATAATGCAAATTAATCCTAAATGATCTAATCTAAAACTATACGGAGTATTAAAATGAGGGTACATAAGCACTTTGTATAAATGCAATGTACATCATGATGAATAATTAATGTGTTAACTTAATATAGAATTTTTAGTAACATAACATTATTGAGCGCAAATGAAATAACGGTCACATACACAAGTCAACATCAACATTTGTATGTATATGCAACATTTATTATCGGAATGTCGAACCAATTTTGATGTTGAATTTCCCTATAGCAATGAGTGTCGTATGATTTCATTAACATAAATGTTGTCAACATGTGTAGTTTGCTTTCACTAAATTAACTACAATCAACATCACCCTCAAACGTTTGGATCAATAGGCAAGGTAAGTGATACATTTGTACAAACTTAAATATTAATCTCAAATAAAGATGGACACTGGCACACCACAAAAAAACACAAAACGTTGATGCACGTGTCGGGTTGTGGCATTTAAGTTTTGCGATGTATATTTACCCACTTTGGAATAAGAGAGCGCTACTCGGCAAAGTACTCCGTAATGAAAACTTAGCCAAGCACCTACACGTAAACATGGCATGTCATGGCATGGGACGATGGACACAGGCTCGCTCCACATGTGGGCCTCCCTTTTAAAAATTGTGACATAGTACACATAGTATTGCGGATATATTTTTGAGATATTAGAGTATATTTGATAGAGTTTGTTTATGGTAATTATGTTTATCTTTGTTATTGTTTCCTAATTTCTAGGTTACCAAAGATAAGGTAACTCTAGGTTTAGTTTGTACTCTATATATTGGTTTCCGTTGATTAATAAAAATGAAGCCGAGTTTCAAGAAGTTTAGCATGGTATCAAAGCCAAAATCCTAAAATAACATTTTTTTTCTCTTCTTCTTTCTTCTTCTCACCTTGAACAATGGGGGAAGGAGATGAAACACCACCACCACTACCCAAAATCGAAATTAATTCCCCCTTTTACCTTGGACCGCAAGATCGGCCAGGTGATTTTATTACTTCTCAACGTTTTTGCCTTGTTAATGGACCTCGGATTCAGCAAATTAAATCCGAAATTAATCACTACTAGAAATAGGCCGTATTCCGAGGGAATTGTTCCGACGGACCTAAATTCCATCGGAAATTCGAACTTTCCGACGGAATTAGGCTCTGTTAGAAAATTCCGTCGGAAAAGGTACGTTACGACGGAAAATCCGTCGGAATTCTTGCGACGGAAATTAATTCCCTCGGAACAAATAGGCTTCCGACGGAATATTCCGTCGGAATTCAAATCCGTCGGAATTTTCCTACGGAATATTCCCTCGGAAAACCCAAATATTCCGACGGATTTTTTTCCGTCGGAACGTTCTAATATATACATTAAAAAAACCGACTTTTCTTTGTTTCTCTTTCTCCTCTCCTCTCCTCTTTCTCTCTCTTCTCCTTCTCTGCTTTTCCTCCTTCTCCTTCCCCTTCGTTTCTCTTTCCTCCTTCCTTCTCCTTTCGTTTCTCTCTCCTCCTTCTCCTTTCGTTCCTCTTTCCTCCTTCTCCTTCCCCTTCGTTTCTCTCTCCTCCTTCCTTCTCCTTTCGTTTCTCTCTCCTCCTTCTCTTTTCGTTCCTCTTTCCTCCTTCTCCTTCCCCTTCGTTTCTCTCTCCTCCTTCTCCCTCCCCTTCCCCTTCTCCTTCCCCTTCGTTTTTCAAAGCCACGAACCACCGCTGCTGCGCAACCATGAACCACCGTCGCTACGCAACCACGAATCACCACCGCCTTCTAATGGTTTTTCAAAGAACAAAGTAAGGTTTTTCATGTCAAATTCGACCATGAAAACCCTAGATCTAGAGTTTTCATGGTCGAATTTGACCTTTAAAACCCAAATTCAAGCCAAATTAGGGGTTTTGATGGAATTCAAGGTAAGTTCTCTTATTCTCTTTCTCTTATTTTTTTCGGCTTTTTTACTTCTTTTTTTTTCTGATTTTTCGTGTTTTAGTTTTTTTTTTCCCTTTTTTCGTTTTTTTTTCTTCTGATTTTTCGTGTTTTTGTTTTTTTTTTCGCCTTTTTCGTTTTTTTAACTTCTGATTTTTCGTGTTTTTGATTTTTTTTTTCGGCTTTATTCGTTTTTTTTTTTTTCTGATTTTTCGTGTTTTTGATTTTTTATTTTTGATTTTGTTTTTGATTTTGATTTTGGATTTTGATTTTTTTCTAATTTTGAATTTGTTTTTTTTTTGGAATGTGGTTTAGGTGGGTGGGTAGATCTGGGTATTCGGTAGTGGGTTGTAGTGGTGGTGGGTTGTGGGTAGTTGTGGGTTAGGGGGTTTCGTGGGTGTGGATCTGGGTTGTGGGGGTTTTGTGGGTGCAGTGGGGATCTTGGTTGTGGGGGCAGGGGGTGGGGTGGTGGGTGGGCTTTTTTATTTTATTTTTTTCTATTAAATTTTCCGACAGAAATTTCCGACGGAATCTGTTCCGTCGGAAACTTGCGACGGACTTCCCAATCAAGTCAAACTTGACTCTGACAGAACATAATCCGTCGGAATGGATCTTTCCGATGGAATTTCCCACGGAATATCACGAAATTCCTACAAAGCGTAATGCAACGGTGCTTTCCGACGGAATTTCAGGGTGTTCCGACGGATTTTTTCCGTCGTTGATTGACTGTTTTCTAGTAGTGAATGCTTGTGAACAATTGAAAAACATGCTTGTTGGCGTTTATTTTAGTAAACTCTCTATTTTGTGGGATGAACTTGAAAAACATGAGCCATTAATTATTTCTTGTAAATGTGGCAAGTGTACTTGTAATGTTGGCAAGCAACATGCCGATTGAAGAGATGGTGATCGCCTTCAGCAATTGTTGTTGGGTATGTGTTCAGAGTATTATGCTCTTCTTCGTTCCACCTTATTGTCTCAAGACCCTCTGCCCACATTGAATAGGGTGTGCCAGCAAATTTCTCAAGATGAATGAGTTCGTGGTATTTCACGCTCCAAGGAAGACACACCATCGTCTTTGGCGCTTGGTTTTGCGGTTCGGGCTGGTGCTGGCCGAGGCCGTGGTGGGTCTGATAAACCTCTCGTGTGTGACAAATGCAAGAAAATAGGCCACAAGACAAGCAAGTGTTGGGCGGATAAAACCTGCAATTATTGTAAAAAAAAAAAAGGGCTACCACTACTACAAAATATGGATAAAGAACCAATGACAAGAAACCACAATTATTAGATAAGGGGTTGCTTAATAAAAGTAACCTATTTTCTCTAATAAGGGGTTTCTTATACAAGTGTATAAGAAACCCCTTGATAGCACAATAATATACACTTTTTATATGTCATATTTATATGATATTTGTCATGCTTTCTCCCTACATTTAATTATTTGAGCATCAATTTATATATATTTCGATTATTGCTCTCCTCGGGTTCTTTTTTTTTATAGGAATAAACTATTATGTGAGTCGAGCTACATATTGGAAATGTTCTTATGCAACAAAGAGAAGGAAATTACACAGGGACAACCTACTCCACAGCTGAGGTGTGTCATACTACCTTCTCCACATCCTACCCGTGGATAGCACACTAAAGAGAAGAAGAAGAAGAAGAGTGGCAAGTCCAGCCCACTCCACAACCCGCGTGTGGCCAACAGAGGTGTGCCACAACCAGGTTATGGCCTGCTCGTGATTAACACTTTGTACACGAAGTTGGGCTCGTTTTGGATGATTTTTCGGGAGTTCTAATTGTATTCAACTTCTCCAATATTATCTTTGCTTATATATATCTAGTTATTAGGGATAATAAAGGGGGGGTAGCCGCATGATACAAATTAAACTAGGAGCAACAACCTCATATAACTAGTTAGTTGTTCTTTTAATTATTTCTTTTTTGCTTAATTCTCTTTATTGCAACCCCATATAAAGTTGTACTAACGGTTTCTTTCTAATTATTTGTGATTCGTTTTTACTAAGCCTTTTTCGTTGCTTCGGCTATTATCTCTTGTGTTTTTGATACTCAGCTTTTAGTTCCTTGTTGCATGCAAACACGACGTTCAGGATCAGATGATTTAACACCTTTTGATTCTGTAATCGAAGCAACTTCAAGGAGACGAAGAGGCAGAAGAAGAAGAAGGAATCAAAACAATAGAAACATGGAAGACCAAGGAACGAAATCTCTTTTGGAGTACGGTATTCCTGATACAACAACCGGACTCCTCTCAAGCATTGTCAGACCACCCGTTACTGCTCAGAACTTCGAATTGTAACCACAGTTCATTCAATTCATCTCCAATGATTCGTTTGCAAGCACACCTCATGATTGCCCAATGAGTCACATTGATAGTTTCTTGGAGAAATGCGATACTATGAAGTTAAATGGTGTTACAGATGATGCTCTTAAACTTCGCCTTTTTCCTTTCTCATTACGGGATAGGGCGAAAGAATGGTTGAGAGATGAAGGTTATGGCTCATTTGACACATGGGACAAACTGGTGAAGGCTTTTCTAGTCAAGTTCTTAGGACATAAAAAGACTGCAAGGTTGAGAAACGAGTTATCTACTTTCAGGCAGTCAGATGATGAGTCCTTATATGAAGCATGGAGGAGATTCAAGCGATTGCATAGACAATGCCTTCACCATGGTATTCCTGAATGGATGTTGATCCAAACCTTTTATAATGGTTTAACTCATTAGTTCCGAATCTATATTGATGTTGCGTCTGGGGGTTCTCTCTTGACTAAGAACCCATCTGAGGCGAAGGAGTTAATTGAGAAGATGGCGGCTAATGACAACTATCATCCAGGAGGCCGATATAGTGTGAAGAAGGGAGGAAAATTAGATGTTGATGCTCTAACTCTTTTGACTAGCTCTGTGCAGGCATTGACAAGCAAGTTCGACAGACTACAAGCTGGATCATCTTCTAGCTCACCTAAAACTTATCAAATGTGTAATGTACACGGTCACATTGTACCTGATTGTCCACAGAATTCGAATAAGATGTCGATCGAGGAAGCCAATGCATTCTACACTTAAAATCCCAAAAGGCCATATGACCCCCATTCAAACACATATAACTAAGGGTGAAAACATCATCCAAATTTCTCCTACAAGAATACCCAAGCCCAACAAAATCCGCCTCCACCACCACCTCGAACCAACAATTATAATGCACCACCTGGTTTTCAAGCAAGGCCACCTCCAGTTCAACAACCTATGCAACCACCTCCTCAAAAGTCTAACCTTGAGCTAATGATGGAAAATTTCATAACCACAATAAACAATTCCATCCAACAGTTACAAGCTTAGAACAAGCTCATGGAAAATCAAATAAGTCAACTTTCTCATCAAGTTGGCCAATCTTCAAGGACTCCAAGTACCTTTTCGGGTCAAACAGAGCAACCACAAAAGGGGCATATGAATGCCGTGACTTTGAGGAGTGGAAAGTAGTTGGAAGATCCTCTCGTAAGGGAGCCATCAAAGTAGGTTGTTGAGGGAGTAGACGCAACTGAGAAGGCAGTTGATGGTAGTGTGATTGAGGAAGAGCCAAAGGCATCGACTCCACCACCACTTGCTCCATATGTGCCACAGGTTCCTTTTCCACAAAGGTTGGCTCAAGCTAAGTTAGAGAAAAAGTATGGAAAATTTCTTGATATTCTGAAAAAGCTCCACATCAACATTCCATTCTTAGATGCAATAACCGAGATGCCATCCTATGCAAAAAATTTAAAGGATATGCTCTCTAACAAGAAGAAGCTATAGGAGAATGCTACGGTTGCGTTGACTGCAGAGTGTAGTGCAATTTTGCAAAACACACTTCCTAAGAAATTAGGCGATCCGAGTAGCTACTCAATTTTGGTGAAACTTGGAGACATAGAGAACAACAAGGCATTATGTGATCTTGGAGCAAGTGTGAGTCTTATGTCTCTCTCTATTTGCAAGAAACTTCAAATGGGTGAACTAAAGCCTACACGCATATCTCTTCAACTTGTGGATAGGTCGGTTAAATTTCCTTTAGGTGTATTTGAAGATGTACCTCTTCGCGTGGGAAAATTCTTTATTCCATGCGAGTTTGTTGTGATGGAGATGGAGGAAGATTCACATGTTCCTATTATTCTTGGTAGACCATTCTTAGCCACTGCAGGTGCAATCATTAATATGAAGAATGGAAAAATCACTTTTGAAGTTGGTGACGAGAAAATGGAGTATTCACTCTTGAATGCTATGGGAACTCCTTCCATATGAGAGACTATTTGTCAAGTAGACGTCCTTGATGATTTACAACGTGAACAACTTCCCTTGATTAAAACGGATGATGCACTTGAAACGGTGTTAACGGGGAGTGTTAGTGATGAAGATTAGGAAACAAGGGAGTATACAAGGCTACTTGAGGAAGCAAAAGCCAATCCAATCACCGCTCCAGTCAAGGAAGTCCTTAGTGCATCGAGTGTTGGGGAGAGTACTACGCCTCTTGAGGTAGAGTTGAAACCCCTTCCCTCTACTCTTAAATATGCATACCTTGGTCCTAATAATACATATCCTGTTATTGTTAATGATGAGCTTAATGACACAAAATTAGAGCAATTGCTCACTGTTTTGAGAAAATATAAAAGTGTTATTAGGTATACCATTGATGATATTAAGGGTATTAATCCATCTTTTTGTATGCATAAAATCATTCTTAAGGACGATCATGCCTCCTCTATAAAACCTTAAAGAAGGCTTAATCAAAATATGATGGAGGTAGTTAAAAAAGAGGTTCTTAAATTGCTTTCTGCAGGAATAATTTACCCTATCTCAGATAGTAAGTGGGTTAGCCCTGTACAAGTAATACCTAAAAAAGGAGGTATGACCATTGTCAAGAATGACAAGGGTGAGCCAGTCGCCACTAGGACTATTACAGGGTGGCGAATGTGCATTGATTATAGAAGGTTGAATAAGGCCACCCGGAAGGACCATTTCCCCCTCCCCTTTATTGATCAGATGCTTGAACGTTTGGCTAAGCATTCCTTTTTCTGTTATTTGGATGGATATTTTGGTTTCTTCCAAATTCCTATTCGTCCTTGTGATCAGGAAAAGACCACATTCACATGTCCCTATGGAACCTTTTCCTATCGAAGAATGCCATTTGGATTATGTAATGCCCCAGCCACGTTCCAGCGTTGCATGATGGCAATTTTCTCGGGTCTTATTGAAAATTCAATGGAAGTTTTTATGGATGACTTCTCTATCTATGGAACATCTTTTGATGTATGTCTTGAAAATTTGAAAAAGGTGCTCCATAGATGTCAAGAAGTCAATTTAATTTGAATTGGGAAAAAATGTCATTTTATGGTACAACAAGGAGTTGTTCTAGGACATGTGGTATCACAAAACGGTATTGAGGTCGATAAGGCAAAGATAGAGGTCATTGAGCGACTACCCCCTCCTAACTCTGTAAAAGGAGTTCGGAGCTTTCTTGGTCATGCAGGATTTTATAGACGATTTATTAAAGATTTTTCAAAATCGCTCGACCTCTAACTGAGCTTTTGGCCAAAGATGCCTCATTTGTATTTACTAATGCTTGTCTTGAGGCTTTTAACATGTTAAAGTAAGCTTTGATCTCCGCTCCTGTTATGCAACCCCCAGATTGGACACTACCATTTGAGATTATTTGCGATGCTAGTGACTATGCGGTAAGGGCAGTTTTGGGGTAACGAAGGGATGGAAAACTTCATGCTATTTATTACTCTAGTAAAACTCTTAGCCCTGCTCAAATGAATTATGCCACAACTGAAAAAGAGATGCTAGCGGTAGTTTATGTAGGGTTAAACTAGGCTACTGACAAGAGTAATATGTGACTACCTAACCAGCTTACCTTAATAAAAACAAGTATACAAGAAAAAACCATTACTCCACTAAACTACAACACCTAATGGTTAAGGTGCTAATTTTTATTTTTTTATTTTTTTTATACTAATTACTTTTAGCTTTTATGCAAGTGATGATCTAAGAAGAGCACCTATTATGGTTCATTAAGATTAATTTCTAGACGCTTAATCTTATTTCAAGAGGTTCACTTGCGGGTTTTCACCCACCACACCATTGGTATACTCTTTCCTCTTTCTATCTTTTCAAGTTTGTGAGAAATAATCTCTTTCTGCCATTTGTTTTGGTTTGATTTGATTAGTGTGAATGAAGAATTTTTTTATACCATGTAGTATTCGACGTCATCCTTGTCCTATTCGAATTTCCAATCAATTTGTGAATCGATTGATGATTTTAAATGAAAATATATTTCTTTGTTTTTGTTTAAAGTTGATTGGCCTTGGATTGATTGATTATGTAAGATGGCATAAACCCTTTATTGGTAATTGTTTGTGGTAAGATGGATTCGCTTTCCCCTTGTGCGATGGGGCTTTATTGGAGGGCCACGAACCTCGTAAGACTCACTTTATATCAAATTTCCTCCTTCTTGATCGCCTAAATTGAGACTTGCATTTTAGCTTCCTGAGATCGATGACCAAATTATATTGGAGGACATGATTGAGGCATTTTTTCTTATTGTTCAGAGGTTTTAAATTACATCAGTAGGATTTTTCTTTTTATTTTCACATCTATCTCTTGTTAGCCATGTTGAGCCTACATTATTTTCTTTACTACCTTACGTTACAAGAATGTGATTTTACCGTGAGTTCAAGTATTGAAAAGTGGATGTTATTGTCAAGATTATTTTATAATGATGTGCTACTTCAGTGGAAGTTAAAAGAAAAAAATGCAATGTCGAAAAATATGTGAAAAAAGGAAAAAAAAAAAAAGGCAAATGAAAAATAGTGAGAAGAAAAGAAGTTAAAAAAATAAATAAATAAAAAGTAGGAGAAAAAAAAGGAAAAATTAAAAAAGAAAAAAGAAAAAAAATTGAAAAAATGAGAAAGATTGAATGGAAGGGTGGAAGATGAAAATAAGATTTGTTGATGTTTGGAAATATGTTATTTGAATTTCTAGTTGGAACTTTTGTAACTATTATATCTCACGGCCGGAGGTGTTTTGTGTTATTTCCTCCACTACTTTATTTTCTTATCACCACATTCCCAAATTACATTTTTTCCACCTTATCACCCTAGCCACCCTTTAAAAGTCCTCTTGATCTTCATCATGTGGTTTGGTCCCAAAACGGTGGAGGGTGAGATTTTGTGCAAGTCCTGACGAGGGTCATCAAATTGAAGTGAGGCATGAGCAAATATGGTTGAGCATCCCTAAGGAAGACTCGAGCTTGGGGGAAGAAAGCGGTAAGATTGGTTGGCCATTAAAGGTGTTATTAAACTAATTTTTCATCCATGCTTGTTGGCTTGTGATACTAAAGTTTATGAACAAAATGTTTTGTTTTAATGCTTCGCACTTGGATGATCTTATTGATTTTGGAAATTCATCACTTGTTTTGACGTGTTTTGCTTGAAGACAAGAAAAGATTTAGTGTGAGGGAGTCAACCTATAACTAAATGAAGTTTAATTGTTTTATTTAGTCGTTAGTTTTTTATTTATTTATTTTTTTCATTATTATTTCGGCTTTGTAGGTATGCCTTCTGAAAACCTTCACGAGACCATACTCGTCCTTTGGGGTAGCCTAGGGGTTTAAAGGGCTTGTTGCATATGCTAAATGCAATCGTGATTCCTACGACAGTGAGTTAGGTTAATTGTTTTATGAGTTTAGTTTTCCTTTCTTTAGTTTTGTTTACTCGAGGACGAGTAAAGGTTAAGTGTGGGGGAATTTGATAGCACAATAATATACACTTTTTATATGTCATATTTACATGATATTTGTCATGCTTTCTCCCTACATTTAATTATTTGAGCATCAATTTATATATATTTCGATTATTGCTCTCCTCGGGTTCTTTTTTTTTTTTTTGTAGGAATAAACTATTATGTTAGTCAAGCTACATATTGGAGATGTTCTTATGCGACAAAGAGAAGGAAATTACACAAGGACAACCTACTCCACAGCTGAAGTGTGGCATACTACCTTCTCCACAGCCTACCCGTGGATAGCTCACTAAAGAGAAGAAGAAGAAGAAGAAGAAGAAGAAGAAGAAGAAGAAGAAGAAGAAGAAGAAGAGTGGCAAGTGCAGCCCACTCCACAACCCGCGTGTGGCCAGCAGAGGTGCGCCACAACCAGGTTGTGGCCTGCTCGTGATTAACACTTTATACACGAAGTTGGGCTTGTTTTGGATGATTTTTCGGGAGTTCTAATTGTATTCAACTTCTCCAATATTATCTTTGCTTATATATATCTAGTTATTAGGGATAATAAAGAGGGGTAGCCACATGATACAAATAAAACTGGGAGCAGCAACCCCATATAACTAGTTAGTTATTCTTTTAATTATTTCTTTTTTGCTTAATTCTCTTTTATTTATTATGGGTTTCTAGTCTTATTTTCGAGATTTAAGTTGAACCCTAATATGATTAATACTTGATTTATTCTTTTAAATTCTCAATTAATTATTTATATTGTTCATGCTACATTGATCATGCTTATGCCAATATTAGAGATTAGGGATAATTGGTATTGTTATTATTCCATTGCCTTGATCGCAACGAGAGTTGGGTTTTGACGGATTTGAATAGATCAATTAAGGGTATGAAATTCTCCACAGAAGTAGGTAGAATGGATTGTTAGGAAGTTAGGGTGCCAGATTTAATGTCTTTAATTTACATGATTCCACGGAAGTAGGTTTGATTGTTAATTAGGGAAGCCATTGACAACTCGGGAGAGATCTTTGGTATTTTATAGGGCATACCTTTCCTTGTGAACATATAATTAATTGGTTGGGGTAGGAATTTGTTTTGTATTGATTATGCTAGTGGTGATACTTAATTCTAGATGTTTTTATTATTTGATTTTCTTGCTTTAGTAGTATAATATTTTCAACCTTATTTTGATTTACTCGACTAGTTATAATTCATAGCAACTCAATATTGATACTACCTTCTCTGTGGGATCGACCCTGACTTTCCCTACTACATATTAAGAGGATAATTAGGCTTTTATTATTTTGGTTAGGTGAGCGACCGCCTATCACCCCTTTTGAAAAAATATGGTTCCTTATCTAATTATATAAATTTAGTGCTATTTAAGGAACTACTTTTTATAAAAAGAGGTTTCTTATACGGAATATTAATCTAAAACTATATTTAACCCACCTTCAAATTAAAAAAATAAAAAATAAAAATTTTTTAACCCTATTATCATACCAGTTATCGTCCATTCACCCCATGAACCACAACCGCCCCACCCATTCACTCATCTCTCTTCTCCCTCTCTTATAGTTCTAATCTCTCTTCCATTGAAGCGTCCTCTAGCTCTCATTGAAGCGTCCTCTAGCTCTCATTGAAGCGGATCTCGAGCTTTATAGGTAAATGTGTTGAGCACTTATAGGTAAATGTTATCAATTTGTTATTGTAATTCGTTTTTTTTTTTTTCAATTTCATTTCTGAATATTTCGATTTTGTGTTTAATCATCTTTTCACGAACTTTTGCTTAAATTGTTTAATTTCGTTATTTTTGTTTTTAAATTGTTTAATTTCATTTTTAGATTAACTTCTGTAATTTATTGAAGTACCCTAAATCAAATTTCTCTAAATTTCATTTTTCAAATTATCAAGTTTAATGGCGGAAGAAACTGGTTCCTAGCCAGCTAACTGTGTTAATCCTGCAACATGAACACATTCAATTGGCTTAAAGTAAGCTTTTTTTTCTTTTTTTTTTTAATTTAAATTTCAGATTTGATGCTTTTTGTTTTGATCGATGAAAGTTCATAAACTGTGAATTAATACTATTTGTTCAAGGAATTGGAATGGGTTTGATTGGATTTGATTAGCCTTGTTTGATGTGAATGTGTTAGAATTGTTCTATGAAACAACTAAATTAATAGGATGAAAAAAGTATAAACTTTGAAATTTGATTAAAAGAATTGTGGAGGAAAGATAACAAACTCAACAAAAAATTATACGCTAAGTATTTACATATTATGAAACTACTCATTAACAAGGACTTTGTTTAATTTCCTAATTCATTTGTTGCAGACTTGCAGTTCCAATTGCATATCATGCCCATCAGCTTTTTTATTTCAATGATGGTGGTAAAATCTGGTATAACTGCCTTAAGAATGATCCCTAACATATGTTGTAATGATTTGTACTACTTTATTTTAAATTTTTTTTTAGCCCCTTCAAGTAATTGATGAATATATGGTTCATCTCTTCGTTTGCAGCTAATTGAAAAGCTATCTGCTTTAAATCCTCTGTTTTTCAGTTAATTTAAGTTTCGACATTCATTTCTTTTTATTTGTTGTAAATTGTAAACTATAATTAATTAATTTGGTGAATTTTGTGTGTTTTGTAGGTGAAAATTTATATTCAACAAAGGATGGTTGGAGCTTTATCAATTTTGTTTGGAGACAAATATAATTTCTTTAGAGGTTTTAGAAGACCAGTTATTGTAAATGTTGTTGATTGTGTTTAGAATTTTATAGTTATATTAATATTAAGTATAAGAATTTTACATATTTGTGCATGAAGAATATTATATGGAGTAAGGAGCTTGAAAATCGAAAGGAGCGTGATATGTAGGAATATCGTATATATTGTGGTATAGCTATCGTACATACCATTGTATGTATTTGATAGTTATATTACAATATATATATATATATATATATATATATATATATATATATATATATATATATATATATATTTTGAATTATGAACAAATCAAAGAAACCCTTTTTCACTAAAAGTGATTTCTTTAATTAAACCAAAGAAACCCCCTTTTTCCTAAAAAGTGGTTTCTTTAATGTTATTATAGAATAGTTTTAGCAATACTTAAGAAACCCCTTCTCTTAAAAAGTAATTTATTAAGTTGAGCAAACTAACCCCTTAATAGATGTGGTTTCTTAACCTAAGAGACCTCTTAGCTTAAGAACCCCTCTAAAGTGGTTTCTTATGGCAATTTTAGGGAGTTTCTTTTCATGTTTTTGTAGTAGTGCACTAGGAGAGTAAGTGTTATGACCTTCATGGCTGGCCGGAGGGTGTAGGCCGTAGCAGGGGTCAGATGCGGGCCAATGCTACCTCGGCAGGAGTTCTTGGTTCAGCTCTCGGTTCGTTTAGTGCATCCACTTCCTCTTCTTCTAGTCAATTGTTTACAAGTGAGCAATGGAAGGCTATTACCGGTTTGATAGGTAATGCCACAATTTTCGAAAATCGTTTGAATGGTAAGTTTGATGATACCTCTTAGATTATTGACACCGGAGCTACGCATCACGTTACAAGAGAGAAATCTTGGCTTTTTGACATAAAGAATTTAGAGTGTCCCATTGGATTACCAAACGGGGAAACCGCGTTGACTTCTCTTGTTGGTTCAGTTCGTTTGTCGGACAAGATTACTCTTACCGGAGTGCTCTATGTCCCGAATTTGAGTTGCAACTTACTTTCAATGTCACAGTTTAATGATGACCTTAATTGTATTGTCTAATTTAACTCTTATATGTGTGCTATACAAGACTAAACGAAGGAGCTGAATGGAACGGGAGCTAGGAGGGACATATTGTATTAATTTAGAAAATCGGATCTGGTGCATCATGTGGGCGCTATTGACGCAATATCTAATTTAGAGTTATGGCATCTTCATATAGTTCATCCTTCTGAGAAAGTGGTTAGTTGCTTCCTACTGTTAGTAGTAAAGAAAGTCTAGATAAAGGGTGTGAAGTATGTATGCGTGCTAAACATACTAGAGATAGTTTTCCTTTGAGTGATAATAAAGCATCTAGAATTTTTGAGAAAGTACATTGTGATTTATGGGATCCTTTCGAAATGGTTCATCGTGCGGAGCTCGGTATTTTTTTTACTATTGTTGATGATTATTCTAGAACAGTTTGGATTTATTTGTTGGTTGATAAAATTGAGGTATTTCGTATAGCCAATTTTCCCAAACGATTAAAGTTGTGCAAAGTGATAATGGCACTGACTTCAATTGCTTGCTTGATTTTTTTAACAAAACTGACATGTGTGGGTACACCACAACAAAACGGAAGGGTTGAGAGGAAACATAAACACATTTTGAATGTTGGGAGAGCTTTGAGATTTCAAGCTAAATTACCAATTTATTTTTGGGGTGAGTGTATTCTTGCTGCAGCTCACTTGATTAATAGAACTCCTACTCCTTTACTTCAAAATAAAACTCCATTCGAAATTCTTTTTAATGAACCTCCTCTATTTGATGCCATTCGGACGTTTAGGTGCTTGTGCTTTGCTCATAATCAGAAAACTAATGGATATAATTTGCTAGTAGGAGTAGAAAATGTGTTTTTGTTGGGTATCCATTTGGGAAGAAAGGTTAGAGGTTGTATGATCTTGAGTCTAAGGTTTTCTTTGTTTCTCGTGATGTTAATTTCTTTGAGGATGTGTTTTCTTTTGGTTGCCCAGATGAAATCAATATTGTGTCACGTGATTATGATTCAAGTTGTGATGTTCATGATGATTTCATAGAATACGAATTGTGGGTGGAGAATGCAGAATTTTTTGATGTTAATAGAGGGTTGCAAGTTGGGGAAGAGGCTGCCACTACACCCACGAAACCAACAGGTTGTTGGCGTGGAAGTGCAGCAGCAGCTCGAGCAAGCGCACGCTGATGAGGCGTTGCACCATGAGCCTCATGCTACTGCCCAGCACGATGGAAATCCGTCGGACGCTGGTGCGGCAGGCAGCACAGCTAGCGAGTAGCAGCACACTATGCCGCAAGCCGACAGTTCCACCGAGGCAACATAGCAGCAGCCCACGGATTTATTAAGACGTGGCATCGTGGGAAGTTTCCGTCTGTTAAACTTCGGGATTTTGTGACTCGTTTCGTATTTGCTAAAAGTACGTTGCCATCTCCTCCGTCTTCTACTCCTCCGTCTTCCACTCCTCCTTCAGGTACTCCATATCCTTTAGCACATTATATAAATTTTGACAATTTTTCTGTGAATTATCGTAAGTTTCTTGTAGCAATTGTAAGTGGAAATGATCCAAAGTCTTTTCGGGAAGCCATTAAATCTGAGGGATGGCGTCGATCTATGAAGGAGGAAATACACGCTCTAGAAGACAATGGGACTTGGACTCTAGAGCCTCTTCCACCTGGTAAAAAGGCTCTAGGGAGTCAATAGGTGTACAAGATGAAGTTTTTGTCTAATGGTGATGTAGAATGTCTCAAGTCTCGTTTAGTTGTTTTGGGAATCATCAACAGCAAGGTATAAATTACAGTGAAACGTTTGCTCCAGTTGCGAAAACGACCACAGTTCGGGCATTCCTTGCAATTGTAGCTTGTAAAAATTGGGAACTTTATCAGATGGATGTTCACAATGCCTTTCTGCACGATGACCTTCAGGAAGACATGTATATGAAATTGCCTCCTAGTTTTGAAAGTTCAGATCCCACTCTGGTGTGTCATCTGAGAAAGTCATTATATGGCTTGAAACAAGCTCCACGATGTTGGTTTGCAAAATTAGTTACAGCTCTGAAAGGGTACGACTTCTTACAATCTTACTCTGGTTATTCACTTTTTACATACACTAAAGGCAATATTCAGATTAATGTCTTAGTATATGTTGATGATCTTATTATTTTTGGTAACAATTTCGCTGCACTCGTTAGTTTCAAGGCTAATCTCAGTGACTGTTTCAAGATGAAGGATCTTGGTCCTTTGAAGTACTTTTTAGGTATAGAAGTTGTCGGTAGTTCAATGGACTTGTTTTTGTGCCAAAGAAAATATACTTTGGATATTATTTCCGAGTCTGGTTTGTTGGGGGCGAAGCCAAGTGGCTTCTATATTGAGCAAAATCATAAATTAAGCTTTGCTACAGGCGACATTCTAGCAAATCCCAAGGCTTATCGACGGTTTGTGGAGCAGTTAATTTATCTTGGGGTCACTCGACCCGACTTGGCTTACTCTGTTCATATTCTTTCACAGTTCATGCAAGAGCCACACACTGAGCATTGGGAGGCAGCTCTGCGGGTGGTACGTTACTTGAAAGGTACCCCGGGTCAAGGAATTTTGTTGCCTGTAGATAGTGAGTTAACTCTGCAAGGTTGGTGCGATTCTGATTGGGCAGCTTGTCCCTTAACTCATCGTACACTGATAGGTTGGCTTGTGTTTCTTGGTCATTCCCCCATCTCTTGGAAGACAAAGAAACAACACACTGTGTCGAAGTCTTCTGCAGAGGCCGAATATAGGTCCATGGCTGCAATTACTTGTGAGTTAAAATGGCTCAAAGCTTTGTTGTTGAGCTTGGGTATTAATCATCCCAAGGCAATTAAGTTGTTTTATGATAGTGAGTCTGCTTTGCACATTGCAAAGAACCCCCTTTTTCCTGAACGGACGAAGCACGTTGAGGTTGATTGTTACTTCGTTCGGGATGCTATTAATGAAGGCTTAATTTCTCCATCGTATGTTTCTACTTCTTCTCAATTAGGTGATATCTTCACGAAGGCTCTTGGGAAGTCACAATTTGATTACCTTCTGTTCAAGTTGGGCATCTTCGACTCTCGTGCTCCAACTTGAGGGGGGGTATTGCGGATATATTTTTCGAGATATTAGAGTATATTTGATAGAGTTTGTTTATGGTAATTATGTTTATCTTTGATATTGTTTCCTAATTTCTAGGTTACCAAAGATAAGGTAACTCTAGGTTTAGTTTGTACTCTATATATTGGTTTCCCTTGATTAATGAGAATGAAGCCGAGTTTCAAGAAGTTTAGCACATAGCTAAAAGGCCAAACCATGAACCATGCCTAATCAACCCCAATACGCGTGGGTTTAGCACAAGCTACTACAACAATACCAAAGCCCTTTTAGTCAAGACCCACTCAAAGTCTAACCCAATTCTGAAAGATTAGTTAGAGTCTAGTAGCCTCCAGATTGCCGAGTAAGGCACCATAATACACGATCAACATCTTAATAATTATTAAAATTTCCAAATGGGCGGTCAGAGTTAAAGATTAAAAAGTCGTTAGTAAAGAACAAAGAAGATGGAAGCTTTTTTGGTATAATCAAATATACGCCTAGAGTTAAGCGGATCTGGACCTTATATGTGAAGCAGGGTTGAGCCCACATGATTTGAAGTCGACATATCCAACACACACATACCATAATTGGTATGATATGGCCCACATTTATAATGGCCCACAATAATATCAATGATGGTGTCATGCTAGATGCTACCTTATATTCGCTAGATAGCCACTCGGTTTTTCTAGTTGTTCACAGCTATACTCTTCTTCATGTTTTGGGGTACTAGTGTGAACCAATATTATTACACCCAACTTAGGAATTGGACAAATTAAACCATGCTCTAAATTATTATTGTGATATAACGCGCATTAACAGCTTGATTTCGATTTTTAACGTTTAATTAGTACTTGGAAAGGAGCACAAGAATGGGAAGAGAGTTATTGTTTGGTTTAAAGGACATGATTAGGTGATAGGATTTCTTTGTTTGGTTGTTTAATATGAAGGCACTAAAAAATGTTAAAAGTATATTATTTTATTTAAGGTATGCATTCGTCAAAAACTTAAACT